TTTTTTTTTTTGAATTGTCTTTCATAATAGTGTTATAACTGGTGTTTATAAAAAAAATTGGAAACATTCCCAAAAACTAAAACCCAAAGACACCATGTACTGGGTTGGCAAGAGGCAGCAATGTTTAGAAGTCAGCAAGTTTGTGCTGCTTCTCGCAGCATTAGTTTCTTTTATAAGGCCATGGAGTAACTCTGCTTTCTGCAATTAATAATATTTTGGGCAGTTATATCATATAGCAGTCAAAGGGTTAAAACGTGAACTAATTTTCTCTTGTGAAAAGTTGCTTGGTGGAAATTTGGATACTTATTAGATAAGGTTTCTATCTACTGTGGTTTTTAGGAATATTTTCATAATGATCTCTGCTGCAATAAATTGAATAAGTGATTTTGATTTTGGGTGGTTTTATTATACTTATTTTATAGTTGCTGTGCTTCTTTATAATGTTGATGTTCTGTTGTTTTGAATGTTACTCATTCAAGGAAACTGCTATTCAAAAAATGTTTTTCATGTACAAACAGCTTTTTTGGAATTATTGGAGCAAAATTATTTGATAAAACTTATTTTTCTTTTGTTTTTGTTCACTTTTTTCTTTGCAACATTTTTTGAAAAATTAAGGGTAAGTGAGAATTAAAAAATAATATTTTATTACTTTATTATAGTACTATTCTGTCAATATCATATTCTTCACAGAATTGCATGAACCTGCAAACACAAACACATTCACAGAAAAACATGCACATCTTACATACATGGGCATGCATACACAGAGGCATTCATATATACACATCCAATACACACACACAGTTGATAAATAGATTTAAAATACTGAATGTGATTTTTACTTATGTGGAAGCATTCATTACTGTTTATTTGGATGAAATGGTCTAATAAGATGCCATCTCATCACTGAAAGAGAAGTTCAACTATCTGCAGTCAGAGAACTAATTCCAAAAAATGTTACATATCATGCTGCATTTTTTTTCTCAGCTTAGCATTTCACCTACAGACTAGAAGCGGTGGTGCCACAATAAACAACATCAAACATGCTCAACAGATGCCATAGGTATACAAAACTAGGGTAGTAACTAACGGGAACTTGGTCGGAAGTCTCTTAGGTATATGTCTTTTCTTAAATCATGTTTCTCTCATGTGGTTTTAGCTTCCATTATTTTACATTCCTGACATCTATCTCTCAGGGACAGTTTGATGTGATACTTAGGAACCAACCTTGTAGTGTATTGTGACATACATTACTCAGGGGCAGTCTAGTAAGACATTCACCATGAAAGACTACATTCTAGTAAGACATTCAACATCTCAATAATGAAATTATGAAATATTTTGATACCCTTCATTCTTATACATATGCAGGATCAAATAATTAAGTAATGCAGTCTGACATTACATTTGCCAAATAGAGAATGAGATCTGACATAATCTAGCTATTAAACAGTTTGCTGTAATATACATTTAAAAGAATGTGTAATCAGGAATTATGTACAACTTTGCTCCCAACATGGATTCACACCCACTCAACTGTAAATATTACCTAGATTGAGTGGATTTGAATTTCCATCTGGGAGGAAAGTTAGAAGACTGTCACTGTGGTATTGCTTTATTCCATTTTATGAGGAAACATATTTTGCCAAAATATAATGAACAGGGAAACAGCCTGTGTACAAACAACCTGTTAAGAGACAGTCATTTGTATTGTTATTCATGATATATGTAATATGTGACATGAATTTATATATTAGGGTGGTACAATCTGTTGTCTGTCAACATCCAATAATCAGGTACTCCAGACTATGGCTAGTTGTCTGGTGAAACATAGCTAATGTAGAATGTTAATTATTCAAGAAAAGAGTGTCAAACAATAAGTATATACTTGTATATGATTTCAGAAGTAAAAATTAATAAATAAATAAATAAAAAAGCTGTTAAATTAGGATTGCTAAAAGAATGTCAAGCCAGAAGAAACACAAATAAAAGATGACATGCAATATAATTCAGAAAATAATTATAGATGTAATATATGCACAAAAGGCAACATTTGATTTCTTTAATCCATGTCATGGCAAATTAACATCTGCTTTTTTTATAAATGACTGTTTGGAAATCTTCATATAAATGTTCAAAGTATTAATCACTAACCTTGCAGAGTTCTGTCTGCTTATTTAGGAAGTGAACCCACTTGATTTGCAAACTATTCAGAAGAAATGCTAAATACATACAAATTATTAAATATTGGGCAAATATATCTTGTGGTTTGTTAGCACGTTTTTTTAACTGGTTTACTCACATTAGGAAGACATTCATATAAAACAAATATTGAGATTACTTAACTGGTCAACTAACTTCATTGTACATGATAAATACATATGTGGTATTTCCAAAACAAATAATTATTATTAGAAAAAAATAATAATTTTCATTATATATTTCTTAAAGACTATGTGTTTTGACCTCACTAGTTCAAATAAGAAGCACTACTTCAAAT